TGGTTCTCAGTGTAGGACATTAAAGCTACATGTTTAGTCATTGCGCTGTTCCAATGTGTTTTCTTTTCAACACCACCAAGCAAGTCTCCAATCCTCAATAGATACTTCTGGGTGTCCTACAATTTAACTCACCTGGAGACAGCGTCAGATCCCACAGATGACGGGCTCAGTCCCACAAGACTGCCCCCTACCCACCTTCAGACACCAGTTACACGTCCAGGTTTCACCTGTGCTGCTGACCAACAGGCTATAGATCAGAGCTTCCACGACCCCTCCTCAGATTCAGTTACTTTGCTAGAGCAGCTCACAGAACCCAGAGAAACTTGCTAGGTTACGGGCTTATGACAAGAGGATATGATAGGGACTGCCAGATGAAGAGACACATAGGGCAAGGTCTGCTAGGAGACACAGGAGCTTCTGTCCCCAGAGAACTGGGGTGTGCCACCCTCCTGGTATGTAGATGCAGTATGCCATCACCAGCCTGGGAGCTCTCCAGACCCCGTCCTTTTGGGGTTTTGTGGAGGATTCATGACACTGGCACGACTGATGAAATCATTGACCTTTGGTGGTTGCACTCAATCTCCAGCCCCTCTCCCCTCCCTGGAGGTCAAGGGTGGGACTGAAGGTGCTGACCCCCAGTCCTGTGGGTGGTTTCCCTGGCAACCAGCTCCCATCCTTAGGGGCTTGGTTTACATGATGTAAACAACATTAACATAACAAAAGAGACATTTCTGAAAAAAAACAAAAGAAACGTTTCTGGCTTTCTTCCACTTGGGGAACTCCTAGGGTTTAGGGACTCTGTCCTGTGCACTTCTTGTTATAAATCACAGTATCACAGCTATGAAAAGAACTCTAATTTCTGCCTATCTCACTAGGAGATTGGCTGGGAAGGAAAAAAGCTGGCTCTGGCTTGAGTCACCACGGAGTGAGTCGGGACCTAGGGGCGACAGTCCTTTGCCACTCAAGCTCCCTCTCCTCCTCTATCTACTTGGTGGGGCAGAGCACGTTCCTTTTGTTCTTCCTAATTTGGAGCTAATCAGATTCCGACTGCGCCCAGGGCTCTCAGGGAGGAATTAAATAAAGGAGAGGAGGACGACATTTCTCGTTTGGTACATTTACCCTGTTGGAGTTGGCGCTGGGGATCAGATCCCCGAGAATACCCAAGGGAGAGTCAGATGCGTTCCGGCCTTCCAGGAGCTCACAGGGCGCTTCAACGGAGGGGCCCACAAGAGCTTAACGTGAGGCAGGACACCAAAGAGGGTAAGTAAGCGCCAGGCCAGACTTTGGGACACAGACGAGGGGGACAAAGTGGTGAACAAGATGCCCATTTCAAGTCGTGGAGCAAATTGATAGAGGTAGGGACGGTGGAGGGGAGCACGAAGGGGAGGGAATAAGAGCAGGTGGAGTTGTTAGAGCTGGGGACCTGGGAGTGCATCCTCCCAGTGGACTTGGTAAGAAAAGAGAGAGGGCTGCAGAGGAAACAGAACTATGATCAGGTTATGGAGTTGGCACCTGACCAGCACACATGGGAGGCCCTCTGTGAGGGTGTGGCAGCATGACTGGGGCCCTGGCTTTGTTGCTGTCCCTGGTGGGTCAGGCAGGCTGAGGAGGGTAGGGAGATGGGGGCAGAAACTCCAGGCCCTGGCTGGGGTGGTGGTCATGAAGATGGCCAACAGGAAAGTGTGGCGAGACGTCGGGGAGAAGCCCTAGGATTCAGCGGCCAGTCTGCTGAGGCGCCGAGGTGTCAGCGCTGGGAGGTCAGCGTAGACGGGTAACTGGGTGTGCTGAGTCTGAACTGTTTGAGGGATGTCCAGGTAGAGCTGCTAGTGGACAGTTGGAAATGGGGTTTAAATTTGGGGGAGAGGGCTGTCACTAGATTTAGGAGTCACCGGGGTAGAGGTGATAAACATGGAGGCAAAAGTTCCAGAAACAGGTTCACTGTTGCTGAGGGCTCCTAGAAACAGGGCTTCCCACCTGCCATGGGTAAGTTTCTGGAAGATGACTTGACAGAATGTTTCCAAAACCTAAAAAAGAAACTAGCCCTTTGCTCAGGATTCTATTTCTCCATTTAGGAATTAGGCAGGTGTGCAAAGATGATCACAGTGTTGTTCATTTAGTGAAAAACTGAAAGCTGGCTAAGTGTTGAGATGAGGGGGTTGGTTAAAACATGAACCAGCCATACAATGCAATACTGTGAATGTATTAAAATGATGAGGTGGATGTATATTCACTGACATGAAAAGATGTGTGTGACCTATCATTAAGTTAAAAAAAGTAGGTTAGAAATTGGTATGAGATCCTGTTTTTATAAAAGAAAAAAATATATATTTCTAGAAGAAAAGGCTATAAATCAAAATGTAAATTACTTGTAATTTCTCTTTTTTTTTGCTTATCTGTATTTTACTTCAAGGAATGTGTATTAACACCCCTGGTGACCCCTCTTTAAAAAATGGGGCAGTTGCCAACAGTTGGCAGAGGTGGCAGAGAGAACTGGAGGTAAAGACAGCCTGGTCACCAGGAGGACAAGCCAGACTGACTGGAAACTGGTTCTTGAGCAGCACAGGGTAGAGGGTGTGTGCTCGGTGTGAGGGAAGGGACCCCGAAATGTGTTAGTCGAACACTGCTGCTCAGCTGCTCCGCTGTCCTTCTCTGCTGATAAGGAAGGAGAAACAGGGTGTCTCCACTGCTGCTGGGAGAGGCCGGGCCGTGGGAAGAGGGGAGCTGGGGGAAACGGCGAGCTCGACCCTCTGGCCACAGGCCACCAGCGCCCAGGCCGAGTGAACAGAGGCCAGGCTTATTTATCAGCCCCCGCCTCTCCTCCCCTCCCCCGGCTGCCTCTCCCCGCCTGCGCCTGCGTGTGGGGAGAACCAGCAGATTCAGGGTGAAGAGCTGGCATGGAGGCCATCCTGAGCCCCAGCGAGGCTGTAGGGACATCAGGGATGGGACTGAGGAGCCAAGAAATGCCTCCCACTGGCCCCTGAGCCTGGCTCCTTTCCTCATACTGCCTTGAGCCCCTTCCCTTGTCTGTGGGACAGGATCCTTGGGAACTCAGTGACCCCAGGAGTTCTCACCTTGTAGGTCTCCTGTCCTGTGCCTTTGGTTGGGGAGCTTGGCCTGAGGGAGTGCAGATCCACAGCCCGGGAGTGGAGGGGAAGAGGCAGGAAGGGAAAGTCCTGTCCTGTGAAGCGGCTCAGAGCACGTTCCTTCTACCAGCCTGGTGGGGCCTGTGCTGGGCGCTGTGCGGTGGGCAGGATGCCTCTCATCTGGGGGCTCAGAAAGCTGGCGCGGGGGAGGCAGGCTCCCCATTTCCCAGCCTAGCTGTCCTTTATGATTCACCTGGAAGAATTCCTGCACCTTCAAGAAATTTGCTCACTTCTCTGTATTTCACCCTTGAACCCCACCTGAGAAAACCCAGGGCCTTCTGAAAAAGAAAGTAAAGCACAGGCACTGAGCCCTCCTGCTCTCGCCAGAACTGGGAGGAGCTTTACTCTTACCGTCATTGCACGTGGAGAACTGCCGGCAGGTGTGTGTCTGTCTCCACAGGAAGGCTGGGCCCTCCTGCTGAGCTGCTCCTGGGACTTCAGACACTGCGTTAGCACCGAGGCCTGGGGGAGTGGGCTGAGAGGGTTCCGTGTGGGAGAACTGGGATGTATTTTTGGTGGCCGTGGGCCGTTCCCCTGAGCTCTGCTGTTTTTCCTGCCGCAGCTGCCTCAGCATGGAGAGCCGTGCCAGCTCGGCATCCACCTCTGGGGCGCTGCCTTACTACGTGGCCTTCTCCCAGCTGCTGGGCCTGACTGTGGTGGCCACAACTGGCGCCTGGCTCGGTGTGTACCGAGGGGGCATTGCTTGGGAGAGTGCCCTGCAGTTCAACGTTCATCCCCTCTGCATGGTCATAGGCCTGGTCTTCCTGCAAGGAGACGGTGAGTCCCGGGGCCGAGCCTCCTCAGAGAGACAGTTTGCAGGGACTCTCTCACCCCTGAGGTCTCTCCAGTCAGAGAAGGAAGCTGGCTTAGAGCCTGGGGACACTGGGAATCGAAATCAGAGGCCCTTTGGTGGGTGGGTGGGTGGTAACTCCTTTCAGACCTGTCCCAGCTCTTTTACCCCTTGATTCAACAGGGAGCATCCCAGGGTGTATGTGCTTCATACAGCAGAGGCCCCGGGGCTGGGCTGTAAGCGAGGCCCTCGGCTGTAGAGGCAGTTTGAAATTGGGGGAAAGAAAGTGAGTGTGTGTGTGAGTGTCAGGGGAGATGCTGCACTGGGCCAAGTGAGAGCTCCTCTAGGATCCAGGCCGTGCTTGGATCCCACCTGCCTTGAGGCCAGGGGGCCATGGCCTTCTTTAGGCAACAAGAAAGCTGATCTGTATCTGCTAGATCCACACCTCCTAGAGGTGGTCCAGGTGATAGCCACCCCCTCAGCAGCAGAATCCTAAGAGGCATTCCGCAGGCCCCCTGGCCCTGACCTCCTCTGACCAGTGAAGGGGAATTAGCTTGGGAACCAGGGGTTTCCCACCAAGGGAACCTGTTTACTAAAAGTAGTGAATATCTGATCAAGCTTCAGTATTGGACATTTTGAGGACCATCATAGCTAAGAGGTGAACTCAAAAGCCTGGTGACACCTCAGTATGACTGCATGATGACCCTGAAACACAGCCTGGAATACACAGGACAACTGACAAGGAGGTGGCGGGTGGGTGGGGGTGGGAGGTGCGAAGGCACTGGGAGCCTTGTTTCCTCCCTCACTTCCAGTGGCTTGGGGAACCTGGACAGGCCCTTAACTCCCGTCACCTCTCCAGCTGGGCTGCCTCCTTGCGCAGGCAGGAAGACCTCGAGCTCAGGTCAGCGCACTGACATTTCCTTTCTCACGTCCCATCAGCCCTGCTGGTTTACCGTGTCTTCAGGACTGAAGCAAAGCGTACCACCAAAATCCTGCACGGGCTGCTACACGTCTTCGCCTTCATCATCGCCCTGGTGGGTGAGTTCCTGGCACGGCCTACCCCTCCCCACCTCTGCGTGGACTCGGGAAAGAAGCTGCGTTACTGTCTAGTCCCCCCTCTGCATCCCTCTCTGCCTTCCAGGCAGGGACTGTGGGTGCTGGCAGCCACCGAGCCGGGCCTGGAGCCCAGAGTCAAGGCTAGTCGAGTTTCCCTGGGGCCACTTCCCGTTCCCTCTCTGTCAGCCCTGTCCTCACTCGACCCCTCTCTGGTGCAGGTCTGGTGGCGGTGTTCGACTACCACAGGAAGAAGGGCTATGCCGACCTGTACAGCCTGCACAGCTGGTGTGGCATCCTGGTCTTCGTGCTCTTCTTTGCGCAGGTGGGTCCTCTCTGTGCCCCAGGCACGGGGCGGGCTGGTTGGGGCGCACGCTGCGGGCGCCCGCACAGGTGAAGATGCTCCATCAGGGCTGGGCGCGAGTGGGCTTCGACCCCGACCCCGCGGCCCCAGGCCCAGCCCTCAAGCGCACAGGGAGGGACTGGGACCGGGCCTGGAGCACCTGCCGGGGCCGACATTATCTGTAAGTGCCCGGCGCCCCCCTAGGGGCGCCAGACGAGGCCCGCAGGCGGTGGGTGGAGGGGCCCGCGGTCCTCGTGGCG